CTTTGCCTGTTTCATTTTTGAGTTCATCTGGAACACACCTCGTCTGTGACACTTAAATAAATATACGTAGAGAGTGTCGATATATACACATTTTTATATTTTTATATATAGAAGCATATAAAAGTAATGCGTGTAAAATATGTATGTACAGAACACAAAACCAATATAACGTCTGTGTTAAACATCACAATTTTTTTTTTTAAATGTAAAATATTTTATTATATATATAGTTTTCTATATATATATATATATATATAGTATATGCTCATATAAAGTTTTCGTATCTTCCTTTATACTAAAAATTGTGTCTTACTGATAATACGCTGCTTTTATACTATAAAATTTTTTACTAAAATATGTCATAAATTCTGCTTCTTTCAAAACTGTAGTGGTCACTCTGTATTACTACATAAACCTGTATTGCATGTGCGTACAATAGCTGAGTTAAGTAAATAGTATAATTATGAAAACTATTGTAGATTTTTGGTCAATCTTTACTGAAGTCGCTAATAGTCCAAACACGACGGGAAATTCTTGATTTTATAGAAGCAATTACTACATATACTCTTCCAGTTAAAGACAATTCACCGTTCATATCTCCAAGCTCGATTTTTATCGAATTGTGGCGAAAGAGTGGTAAGAGAATCACATTTATTAAGTACATTTTCAATTCTTTTACATTTTACATATAACTTGCTAAATTCAGCTGTCGATTTTAACCNTTTTTATGTGTGTGAGAAAAGTTTAATCAAAGANTTTTTACCTAAAACGGATGCCTACTGTGATGTGCTATTTTCGTTACTTTTTGTTACTTTTACAAACAAACANAAAAAGATTTAATAATATTTTGTATCGTNTGTCAAAGAAATATNTAACAACAAAAAATACAAACCACAAAGTTTTAGGATTAACCTGTTACTATTTTGTATGCATGTGTTAGGTTACGAAATTCGTAGAAAATAACTACTTAAGTATTCTACATAAATAAAAAAATAACCAACAAAAGTAGTATAATTCCTTTCCTTTAATATATGTACATATACAATAGTAGTCTATGGAGATTTTGAGTGAATTGTGTAAAATATCTTAATAACATAGAAATTTACAATCATTAATATAAATAAATTTTTAATTATAAATTTATACTTATTATACAATCGGAATTATTTTCTAGTACTCAGTATATTTCACATGGTCACTGACAAACATGTCTTCTACAACTTTATGTTTGAAAAAGCCATAAACTTATATCATAACATGTGAGTATATAACTTATTATGATAAATTGCGCAAAATGTTTATTTGTGTAATTCACATTATACGGTATCGTCAAAACGTAAAGAACATATTATTTTTTCTTTGAAACATTTATTAATTAATTTTATTAACTAACATAAGTGTACTTTTTATACTACTCTCGTTTGTTATTAGTTTATCACGTGATACTTATGCTACACAATTAAATTTTGATATTTTATGGAGCAAATTACTATCTGAGATGCCTACGCACAAAAATACGTCTTTCCTAAGAACTTTAACGACTGTGATAACTTCTTGGACACACGTTGGTTATCCTATAGTACAAGTAAACCGGCACAACAAAACACGGACTCTTGAAATACTGATTAGAGACTGTTTTCTAAGTAATAAACAGAAATCTTGTGTAAGCACGTGGTGGATACCTGTGACCTATATAACAATACCACAGTCTAATATCAAATATCATTTGTCCTTACAACCAGACGGAAATAATATTAGAGTTCCGAATATTACAGAAGATGATTCTATCATTTTTATAGATGTACCTGGTAATATTTTCACACACATGGATTATTTAGTTTTGCCTTTTACTTTTACATAATACCTTTTAAATTTCCGTCAATGTAGTATAGTTACTGTTTCTTGCTTTATTGTTTTATTTCTTTTTCTTTGTCTTTCTAATATTCTCACTGTTTTCTTTTGTCACTTTTACTAACACAAATGTTATAGGATATCGCGTCGACTACGATCGTAAATCTTGGGAGAATATTGCTCTCTTCTTGAAAACTACATCATTTAATATGTTGAATTTATCTGACGTCACATTAGCCCAAAT